TGTTCTCATGGTTTGTGGGTTCAAGCCCCACATTGGGCTCTGTGCTGACAGCTAAGAGCCTGGATCCTGCTTTTGATTATGTGTCTCCCTCTCTCTCTGCTCCTCCCTGCTCACACTCTGTCTCTCTATAATAAATACAAATTAAAAAAATTTTTTAAGGGGGAATTCTTAAAAATTTTTTAATTAAAACGTAATGAAATGCTTTCTAAAAAAAGAAAAAATCGTTTTTGAAAGATTTTGAATCTATGGAAAAAAACTGAAAAGGTGACCAACGAGTAAAACCTCTTCCTTACGTAAGAGTAAAAAAGCTGTGTTTTTAAAAATGTTTATTTATTTATTTTGAGAGACAGCAAGAGAGAGTATGCACACAGGAGGGGCAGAGAGAGAGGGAGAGAGAATCCCAAGCATGCTCACACTGTCAGTGCAGAGCCTGACATGGGGCTCAATTTCACAAACTGTGAATCATGACCCGAGCTGAAATCAAGTGTCAGACACCTAACCGACTGAGCCACACGACGCCTCGAGTAAAAAAGTTATTTTAAAAGCTTCAAATGCCATTGTACAAACATTTCTGTGTCAGAAAAAGAATAAAAGGAAGCTTGAGAGAAAACACAAATTACTAAGAAAAACTCAAAATGACTGATGCGGCCACTGAATTCCACAGTCTGGAGCGAGATTCCTTCTGTGGGACATAAACTAGACTTGCACCAATCCATGGTATACTCATTAGATGTGACAAACACAGGTGACTTGGGGCCCTGAGCCACTGCCAGGGAAGAGCGGGAGCAGAGGCAACATGGGCTGTGACGCAAACACGGTCCCAGGGCAGCAGGAGCTCCTGCCTAGCTTTGCTCTCCTCCCATTTAGGATGCGGGCGTGTTTCCCAAAGAGCCCGTGCCTTACTCTGCGCGTGCAAACCTAGCACTGCCTATCGTTTCCACATCAGTTTTTCACTCTGCAAGCGTCTATACCTTCTTCCACTACCCATGTTTAAGACAGAATTAAGCAACGTAAGTTGCCTCTCATTCTTTGTGGAAAGAGGCAAGATTCAAGTACATAAATATGAAATTTTCCATTCTTATTTAAAGAAACAAATTTCTGGTAAACCCGATTCACTTCAAAGGCAATTAAATCCATCTTCCACTGTCCTAAATTTCTGGACTGACAGCACTGCTCCTCTCTTCCAGAGTATCTCCAGCTCTATCTGTGCCAGGGTGGACGTGCCCTAAACCCCAGAGAAAGCTGAAGGCCGCGGCCGCTTCCTGACAAAGAAGGTAGGAGTGACATGATTCACAATTGCTGCCACGTCTCTTTCCACACCACCCCCGTGTGCTGAGCTACACGGTTTCCTATGAAGTATCTGTTTCCATGTGCAGGCTATCCCCCTTGGTAACTCATGGTCTCCTCCCACAAGGTTAGGAACTCGGCACAGCGGTAGCTGCGTGCGTGTCCCTGTGCGCTCACTAGGCTCCCTGCTATCCAACACACTCAACTCCACTCAGTCCACAGAGTGAATTATTCCACAGACAGGGCTTAATCTCCCTAAGATTTGAGTGGCACCTACAGATTAAAAAAAAAAGATAATGTAAAAGTGTAAGAGGAACAGCTATTGATTTCCAGATGAAGGTTAAGTGCTGTAAAATAAGGCCCCAGAGAAAAAGCAGACTTTCTGGAAAACGAACCTTAGAATAAACCTGAACATGCAGTGCATTTCTCTGTCTCAGGTTGAACTAAAGGATGTTGTCCTCTCGAAACAAACCATTCACCACCAGTTTATACACAAACGAAAAGCTTGATTGTCCTATCATATGTTTAGTTACAAGACTACAGCAATTGCTTAAAAAAAAAGTATGTGCATCAGAGATAAAGCTGAGGGAACAATACAGAGCCTCCTGGGGAGCAATAATGGTTGAACTTCGCCTCTGTTCTTCCTGGGGCTGCCCTTGTAGAAGTTGGCTCTTTACCAAAAATGAAATTTTTAAGAAAGCAGCAATGAGAGAAAGAGGTCATACAACAGCCTCATTACAAAACAACTGTTACTTCTGATAAAATGAAAATATGAGAAAAGACAGAGATGCCTAAATGCAAAATGTAACTGTCAGATTTTGCTCAGTTATTTTCTTAAAGTTTTATTTTTGAGACAGACAGAGACAAAGTGTGAGTGGGGGAGGGGCCGAGAGAGAGGGAGATGCGGAATCCGAATCAAGCTCCAGGCTCTGAGCTGTCAGCGCTTGAACTCACAAACAGTGAGATCATGACCTGAGTTGAAGTTGGATCCTCAACCGACTGAGCCACCCAGGGGCCTGATCTCAGTTATTTAAATAAAGATTAATAGAATACATGTCAACGTATTTAGTATTGGGTATGTTCCGCCCCCAGCCCCCCAAACTAAATTTTCCTTTGTTCTATTCAACTTATGAGCATGAAAACACGTTCATACGCCACGAGAAGCAGCAGCCCACTAGTAAATAGGGGCAAAACTATAAATCTATGCTTTGACTTCCCAACTATGAATTATAACATTTGCCCAGCTGACACCTAAAGATTATAAATGGAATTAAAATCCATGTTTCCTGACCCTCAGCCCAAGTTTCTTTTTTTTTTTTCTCCTTCAAGTATCAGCAGAATAGGCTGGTCTGCATCAAACTTCGTTAATGCAGAAATCTACCATGGGGACAAGAGTCACAGGGTCCTCTTTTTCTAGTTACTTTGAATAAAACAAGTACATTGTCCATTGCATCTGCAGACACCCAGAGGCGGGGCTATGTGGAAGGAATGTTTTCCCATAGCTTAGGGAGCAAATCCTATCCTCACTTACTTTTATTTACTTTTTTTTTTTCATTAAAAGAATTGTTTTTCAGGGCACCTGGGTGGCTCAGCCAGTTGAGCATCAGACTCCTGATTTCACCTCAGGTCCTGATCCCCTGGTTCATGGGATCGAGCCCCATGTCAGCTATCATGCGGAAGCTGCTTGGGTTGGGATACTCTGTCTCCCACCTCTCTCTCAAAATAAATACATAAACATTTAAAAAAAAATAGATTTTTGCACCTACTTTTAAATTCTATTCTTTTGACATTACCATCTAAATGCAGCAAGCACATTCTTGGTCAAATGACATTCTTTAAGGTGACACACTAGTGATTTGGGAGGTTTTTATGATTCTCCTTTTCTGTTTCTTGTAATAAGCACCCCTAATTGCAAAGAAGTTGACAAAGCTACCAAAGGAGGGACAAGGTCAAATTCTATAGTCTGTGTCTGTCATTCTTAAATGAAGTAGGCATCAACTTCTCAGGCATCTGAATGGGCAAAGGTGGAAAAGGGAAGGGGTTAACTAAAAGATATAGGGAACTCTCCAATCTTTTAAAAAAAAGAGCTAAGCTATGACTGTCAAGTGCTATGGACTACTTAGAGCTTTCCTTCTGAGGCAGACTGTATCCATAGGCATGGTAAGGGCAAGCCTAACTCCTAAAGGCATTATGGTAATGTGGGCACCCTTCCTCCCTGACACTACTCATTCCTGGTCAGAAGAACCAAAACCCTGTGATGGAATAGCTGTTACAGGCCCCTTCCTCCCCCAATAAATTTCACTTCAAAGCCACCGAAGATTCCTTGATTTCCAAAAGCCTGCCATGCTTAGCTCATTAGAGTAAAATGACAAATGTCCACTTCTCTGACATGTGCTCCTGTCCTCGGTAGGAAATGGAGGTGCTGACCTTTTCCCTCTTCCTTTTCCAGACCAAGACCCAGGAAACAAGTTATTCCTTGTATTTTTCTTCCCAGATCAACTTTTCAAGGCAAATTCACTGAAGGTAAAGTACAATTAAACAGTTATCATTTTGACTCCAATTAAGGTGGTGGTCATCTCTTCTAGATCATTAGCCGCTACAAATTCCTGATGCTTGATAAGTTAATGCTTCATTAAAATAACAGGCAGGCCCCTATTATTCTTAATCGGTGTGAGGGGCAGCATTTCAGTGAAACCACACCAGTCCCTGCACTAAGTTGGGGTCAGGAAGTGCTTATCTTCAAATCATCCCATATTTTACAATTTTAGAAAGAAAGATAGGTGTATAATGATAACCAGTACTTAACACTATGCAAGGATATTGTACCAAAAAAAAAAAGAGAGAGAGAGAAATTCATCTTAAAGATCACAGGCTAAGACTCTTCTCTGCCGCAGACCCTGGAGGGCTGAGTTTAGGAGAGATGGCTGGGTAGAGAATGATAAGGTGTTTCAAGTCTGCTTACTTTTCTCCTCGACGTCCTTCCTTTCCTTATCACTTTCAGAGCAGCCCTAGAAGAACAGGTGTAACAAACACATTAAGACTGGAGTGATGGACGGAACTCCTACAGGATTCCCAGAGGGTGAGAGGTCCCAGACTCCTCCCGTGGGACCTTCCTGAGGGGTCAGGACTATCTGACGCAGGTGGCCCTGGGGACCACAACCGCCACCTCCCCAGGACCGCTGGAGCTACCCTGCCCAGCCACCAGGGCATGTCTCTACGTCCCTAGAGACATCTATCTGTGTCATCTCACCCGGGTCGCCAGAGCCACCGCCCTGGGACCACCTCCTCTGGGAGGTCCGTGCCATTTCTCCAGATTGCAAAGGCTGTCTCCCCGGGCCACGGAAACCACGTCCCCAGGCCGCCAGGGATCACCTCACCAACGCAGTCTCCCTTGGGAGATCTGTGCCACTTCCCTGGGCCACCAGCGTCCCCTCCCCGGGCCACCAGGGCCGCCTCACCGGGGTTGCCGGAGCCTTGCCGATCTCGGCGGCCAGGAGCATCCCGTCTCCTCGCAAGTCCTCGGCTCCATGAGCAGCCAGCGTGGCTTGTAGGGTTCCGCTGCGGCCAGAGGCCAGCCACCACCTCTGCCTGCTAGACCGTGGGGCTCGGTGCCACCTCTACTTCCCCTCGCCGTCTCTCTGGTTTCTTCCTCTCCTCCCAGAGAGGCCGTGCCAGCGCAGCCGCCAGCCAGGCACGGTGGCTCCCTCTGCTGGCAGGGGGCCGGCACGGCCGTTCAGGAAGCCGGCCTCAGTCCCCCCAGGCTCTCGGGAGAAAGAGGGGCGGTCCTTCTCAACCTCGGCCACGCCTCCACCTCGCTGGGGTCCTTAGTCTTGCAGCCTGAAGGTACCCTGCCCTCCGCACCATAAATTCCTTGTGAACCAGTTCAATTCATACTTTAGATGAGACCCCAGATGTTCTCAGAGTGTGAGGGAGCTTTTTGGCGGCTAGCTTCAATGTAATTTGGTCGGCCTGTTTAGTTGGGGGAATTTCCAATGTTCTTATTTTGGGATGTTTCTTTTAAGGCTGCTCAGGCTCAACTAGAGACGACCCTCCGCTTTCCTGCCTGGAGGGTGCAGATCTAGTTGTGAATGACTGGGAGCTGAATGGAGGAAGAGGACTCAGCATCAAATAAGCACTTTACACGCCGGGGACCCAAAAAACGTGGCATTTGACAAGAAGGAGGAACATGAGTGACCTGGAAGCAAGAGGTAGGTAGAGGACTCAGGATTTGACTTCAAAAACAAACATGGGTGGTGGCACCAAAAAGACTAAATAAAGGAGGGAGGGAGGAAGCAACCCTTAGAGAAAACAGAAACCATTTAGTGAGAAGAAAACTTAAAAAATATATATATACTATATACAATATCTTGAGATATGAGGTACCACTGCAGCCACAAAACAATAACAGGATACTATTTTTAAAAAAGTATTCAGAGGGACACCTGGGTGGCTCAGCCAGTTGTGTTGGACTTTTGATCTCTGCTCAGGTCAGAAGCTCACCATTCATGAGTTTGAGCCCCGCCTGGGGCTCAGCTCTCTGTGCTGACAGTGCCCAGCCTGATTGGGATTCTCTCTCTGTCTGCCCCTCCCCTGCTTGCTTGCTCTCATTCTCTCTCTCTCAAAGGAAATAAACATTAAAATAAATGAAAAGAGTACTCAGAGACAAAAAAAAATACGATTGCAGAAATGGAAAGTTCAATTAAAGAGTTGGAAGATTAATGTTGGGAAATTTCTGGGGGGGGGGGAAGCAAAAGGACTAAGAAATGAAAATAAGAAAGAAAAAAAGAAGAAATTAGAGGACCACTGCAGAGGATCCAAAATCTGAAAAATAAGAGTTCCAAAAGAAAAAACTAATCACTCCTTAGGGAAGGAGTGATCATCACCAAAAAATTCAAGACAATGTCTCCAATCTAAAAGTCACGAGTTTCCGGGTTAAAAGGGCCCACTGAGTGCCCAGCACAACGGATAAAACATAGCTCACTCCAAATCATCGTTGTGAAATTGTAGGACACGAGGGACAGACAATCCTAAGCTTCTAGAGAGAAAAACAGATCACTTAACAAAGAATCAAGAATGAACATAACTTTGAATTTCTTAATAGTCACAAAGTTAGAAAACATAGGAGTAATTTTTTTTTTTAACGTTTATTCATTTTGGAGAGAGTGTGAGAGAGGGAGGGGCAGAGAGAGAGGGGACAGAGGATTCAAAGCGGGCTCTGCGCTGACAGCAGCCAGCCCGATTCCAGGCTCGAACTCACAAACCGTGAGATCATGACCTGAAGTCTGACACTCAACCAACTGAGCTACCCCAGTGCCCTCATAGGAGGAAATTCTATCAAATTTCAAAAGGAGATTTATTTCAAACTAGTATTCTACACCTGGTTAGTAAAATATCAGTCAAGTGTGGGTAAACAATAAAGGTATATTCAAACATTCAAAGATCTCAAAATATTTCCTTTTCATTTACTTTTCCTTTCTCAGGATGCTTCTGGAGGTTGTGCTCTACTAAAATGAGGGACTAAACAGAAAAAAAGAAGACACAGGATGTAAGTAACAAGACACAATGCAAGAAAAAAATGATTTTTGAGAGGCCCTGACGACAGTTCTTCACTGGACATGGATTGGTGCAGGTCCAGAAGGCCCCAGAAAAGCTCCTTTTCGGGGCGCCTGGGTGGCTTAGTCGGTTAAGCGTCTGACTTTCGCTTGGGTCATGATCTCGGTTCGTGGGTTCGAGCCCCGCGTCGGGCTCTGTGCTGACTGCCAGCTCAGAGCCTGGAGCCCGTTTCAGAGTCTGTGACTCCCTCTCTCTCTGACCCCCCCCTGCTCACGCTGTTTCTCTCTCTCCTAGAAATAAATAAAAAAAAAAAAAAAAAAGAAAAGCTCCTTTTCAGATGAAACTAGTAGAACACCTCATATATCTAAACCTGGGGAAGCAGAGATTGAAACAATCATTAAAAAGTGTGGGCTTGGCTTGGTGATGGATTGTAAACCAAAATAAGATAATTATTAACTGCAGGAAAAACAGAAAGCTGAGCAGAAGAAAAGTGATCATAGTATGTATATACTACTTTGCCCAAGATGTAAGTAACGTTTACGTAATCATAATGAAGTAAACAGAAACCTATTAAAAAAGGACAATATAATTAGATTGAGCAGCTAAAGGGATGAAAAGTGTGGTGGGGGTGGGGAAATGGATAGGGTAAGAAAGAAGATTTAAATCCTCATTTTCCACCAAGTGAAGTCAACAGATAATGCCTAGAAGTGAAAAATTGAGAAACAGCAACGCAAACATTTTATATAGAGAAATGAAAGTAAATATCAAAATAACCAGTTAAAAGAGATGAAATTATTGCCTTTAAGGAGGGGGAAATTGGCAAGGGGGCTGTAGGCTCTGCTCTTTTCATTGCAATTTACAATATTTCTACGGAATTATTTGGCTCTAAATCACAGACATGCATAACTCTGATAAAAAATAAAAAATAACATTAAAGGGAAAAAAAGATTGCTTATACCCAAATTTTTGCTTCTGAAGAATTCACGTCTGGTAAGGGAAACAGAAATGAAAATAAATTAAGATTGAATGCAGTAGGCTCAAGAATGGAAATGTTTGCAATGACTGAGGAAGCACAGAAAACCATTGACTACTGTCTGGGGAGTGTAAAGAGGCAATCTCAAATGGACAGACTACTAGGCAATAATAAGGGTGAAACAAGAGATACACTGTGTGTTTTAGGCCCTTAGCAATCCATAGTGCTGGTATGGGTTAAAAGCAGGATTCTGAATATTATACATAACATACATGTTAGGATGTAATTTGAAAATCAAGGAGAACATTAAATTGTTAAACAGTTATTAGAGGGAGTTGGAATTTGGGACAGGCTTTGAACACTTCTGTATTATTTTAACGATAAAAGCCAATAAATGGCTGTCATTTTGAAAAACAGGAAACTAAAAATGCATGTTTCACTTGGACCTTGTCTGAGGCAGTTCAGGCTAAAATGCAATAAGTTTTGACCATGGACCTAGCTAGCTAACTGCCAAAGCAATGTGAATGTTCTTTCCTTCCATATACATTTACGAGGTGTTGGGCCTCAGAGAAGATAATTTTTAAAGTATACAAAAATTTAAAGTTTAGGATTGAATTTTTACTTTGGCTGTGGTAAACATATTTGCAGTTGCTGTCATTGGGACATTAACCTATGAATTAATTAAAGCCCAAGGACATGTGATTATACATAGATTCGGGACACAAAAATGTACTCAACTGAGGTGACTATTCTCAGAGAAAGACAGTATAGAATCTTATCAGTCTGAGTGAATTATCCATACTATGTATGGATAATGTAAACCCAAATTTTAAAAACAATGTGGAAACAATGTGGGGTTGTCCAAAAAATTAAAAGTAGAATTAATATAATACAACAATTTCACTTCTGGGTGTATACCCCAAGAAATTGAAAGCAAGGTCTCAAATAGATATTGGAGCACCCATGTTCATAGCAGCATTATTCACAGTAGCCCAAAGGTGGAAGCAATTCGAGTGATGATAGGTGAACAAAATGTGGTGTATATATGTAATGGAATATTATTCAGCCTTAAAAAGGAAGGAAATTCTGCCACACGCTGCAACCTGTGTTGTACCCTTAATGGATGAACATTAAGGAAATAAGGCAGTCACACATATGGCTGTATGATTCCACTTGTAGGAATTACTTACAACTGTGAAATTCACAGGGAAAAAAGTAGAACGGTGGTTTCCAGAGCTGGGAAGAGGGGAGGCTGGGGCTTTATTTCCCGGGTAGAGTTTCAGCTTTGCCGGATGAAAAGCCTTCTGGAGATGGGTGACAGTGACGGTTGCATAACATTGTGGATGTACTTAAAGGCACTGAATGTACACTTAAAAATAATTAAAGTGATACATTTTATGTGCCACGTATTTTACCACAATTTAAAAAACCAAGTCTAATAGAAATTAAAGGACTTGAAATAACATATAGGTGTGTCACTGAGGATTGAAATGTGGGAAAATATTAAATGTGCAAAAGCTATTGGAGGCCAGAATTTGGTCGTGAAACGTGAAAAGTATGGAAAGAGTAAGTTCTCTTCACACAGAAGCACAAACTTGCTATCATCAATTTTTCTTAAGCCTATCCTACTGAGGAGCCGTCAAGCAGGAGGGGTAAATGTAAGAAGTGGGAAAATGCTTCTCTCGGATCCTCTGGCACTCAAGGGAATGACCTATAGAACAACATATTTCTCTAGTTACTCTTTTTATTAAGCTAGTTGCATGTGGAGGGCAACACAAAATGGCCATAACCATGTGGAAGAAACCTTTATTAAAATACGTCAAGCATTCGTTAGGCCACGGCCACTTTAGAACTCCTAAAGACTGTCTGGAGGAGTGTGGTGCACGATGAAATCACTGTCTGCCCGGGCCCTGGACCGGCTCCCGCCGCGGTGAGCTCCCCACCCTGCAGCTAGCAAATCCGCAGGGAACCAGCCAGCCTTCTCCGCACAAGGGCCACTGACGCTCCAGTCGGCGGAGAGGGGCGGGGCCTCGCTTCACCCGACCGGTGCGGAGGCGGGGCCGGAGGCGGGGCCCGCCCCGGGGGTGGGGCCGATTAGCGGCTGCGCGTCGCTGCGCGGCACGTGTGAGAGCTCGGCCGCAGACGAGTGCGTCCGCGCGCCCCCGACCCCAGAGACAGAAGGCGCTGACGGCGCTGCGTATGCCGGGGCGCCCTCGCCGCTGGCTCTTCCGAGTGGCCCTTGCCGCCGCCGCCCTGCTGCGCCCGGAGCAGCTCGCCCGCCCCCTCGCCGCCCGGCCCGCGCCGCGCCCGCCCTCCCAGGCCCCGGGTAAGTGCGCGGCCTCGCCGCAGCCGCCCGGGCTCCACGGCCGGGCCTCAGAGCCCCGCCCGGAGGGGCAGTGCGGGCTGAGAAGGCGTCCCGGCCGCGGCCTGAGCCCGCGGCGCGCCCACGGCGCCTCCATTACTAACCGTGCCCGCGGGAGCGCGGCTGGAGCCTGGCGGTCCTGGTCCCGCGGTACCAGCCCCGCCCCTCCTTCCGGGGCCGATCGGCAGGGGGCGCCGCGCCCTCCCGCCTCCCTGCGGCGCTGGCTGCACGCTGCTCCCAGAACCTCTCTTCCCTTTCTTTGCCCCCGGCGCTCCCTAAACTCTTCTCGCAGAAGGGAAAACCGGCCTCTATCCCGGAGCCCTTACAGCCCCGGTGTATCGCGGGGCCGGTCTTCTGCAGGGTAAAGCCCACGTGCTGTCTCTCGTCCTCGTTTTCATCCGTCACCACTTCCTGCGAGGCTGCTGCATGTCAGGCAGGCACTCAGCTGACTGCTTGTTTTTGTACACATTTCCCAGAGTAGGAGCGAACAGGTTGGGGATCAGGAGTGTTTTCTTCAGCCCTCCGCCAGGTCCGTGTTTAATGAGTGGATGTTTGGAGGTGCTGCTGTGCATGTTGAAACTCATCCACGCTGAGTCCTTACCGCCATCCCTGCACTGAGCGGTTTAGAAGTACGTCCTTACTGCCTGGGTTATTAGCGCTTGCCAAGAAATAGGGTTTGGAGAGAGTTTGGTTTGTCAAATATTTAATCCCGTTGTCAGGCCACTTTTTTTTTTTTTTTTCATTTCAAAAATCTAGGATTACGAAGAGCTTTATTTCAAGCCTCCAATCATCTTTGCAAACGGCTTGTTCCGTTCCCTTGGGGATACCTTGACAATTGTGGGATCTGTCAAAAATAGGCCTGTACGCTCATAGTGAAAAGGGGATGAATAGGCAGTAATTTTGTTTAATCATTCAGCAGCTCCTTTTGAACGTATCTTTTGGTATAGTCTGGGGCAATACACGTATTAATGAAATTGCCCCCAAGTAGGAAAGAGATCCAGCCGGTCTGTTGACTAGGTTTGTTACTGTTTCGGGTCCTTTACAGGTGCCCGTCCTGCTGCCTGGAACTCTCCCCATACACATCTTTTCATGTCTAGTTCTTTCTCCCCTTCCCTTTACTCTGCTTTATTTGTAGCTCTTAATGGGTGCGTGTTTTTGAGATTATTTTATTCGTTGATATATCCTTAAATAAATATAAACTCAAAGAGGGCAAGAAATTGCCCCTTTTCCCCCAGTGCCTAGGATAGTGCCAGACCCATAAGGGGTACTCAGGTATTTGTGGGATGAACGAATCTAATGGACTTCATGATTTTGCATATTAGAATGTAGAGTGTGCTCTGCCCTGAAGAAAGTGCTCTTTATTATATACATATATGTAAATAAATACAAATATATATTTTTTAACATTTATTTTTTGAGAGACAGGTCATGAGCAGGAGAGGGGCAGAGAAAGAGGGAGACATAGAATCTGGGTCAGCACAAAACCTGACCCGAGGCTTGAACCCATAGACTGCAAAATCATGACCCGAGCCAAAGTCAGACGCTCAACCAACTGAGCTAATCAGGCGCCTCAGAAGGTGCTCTTTATAGTGAGCCTAGAGGGGTTGTTGACAGTTTGCAGAGGATGGGGGAAAGTCTTTAAAAAGTGGAAGTTGTATTTTGAAATATAGATAGGACTAAGACTAATATGGCTTTAGATGTTCATTTTGCAAGAAGTAACGTTAAGGGATTATCAGTGTAGTATTACAATTTTAAAAAT